CCTTGGGGGCAAAAAACGGTGAAAGCTAACGTACGAAATCAGATGGCAGCACACGGTTCGATCGCGCGACCCTGCCCGTGAGCAATCTCCCAACTCATCTCTGCCTGAACGCCCTGGATTCCTTTGCTTGCATTACTTTATCTTTTGATTTATTCCCCATATACTTTCCATTCTACGGTGCAGATGGCGCGACCAGTCAAAACACCTGCACAAAAATATACTATCATTATATGTTCTCCCATGTTTTTAATTTATTCAATTTCTTTCCAATTCTATTGGTTACAACGAAGTATTACGATTATTTTTTAAACGATGCTTATTTAAATGTTCTTTGTTCGTCGTGTAAGAGTCGAAATTTACAAATTTTCCACAATCCTCTTGTAGCCGTGATCGTCTAGTGGTTAGGACCCTACGTTGTGGCCGTAGTAACCCAGGTTCGAATCCTGGTCATGGCAATGTCCCAAGTGACATTATCACGGAAGAGGTATTTTTTTTATCCTTGATTAGCAGATATGTGTAGGTTTACTACACGAAGTATAAAATCAAATTTAAATTGTCACGAAATCCACTTGTTTAAGAACTTCGAAGCACTCATCAATATTCATCAAAATTGTTATGCCGACGTAATTATATCATATTGTGTTCAAAATATCTCAAAACTTACCTTGAAAGAGTTGCAAACACTGAGTAGACCTTGTGGAATATTGTCTTTCTCTCCTATTTTTGTTTTAACAGCACCTTGGCGTGATTAAACAAGTTAATTCCGTATTTATAAATCCTTGCGATAAGATACGAATGTAGTCAATGCCAGGCGATCATTCTTCGCGTATAAATGCGTGCGCATGTTTAACCGTGCAACACGCGTCACTGTATCACTTTGTGTGATATCGATACAGTCACGTTGTAGGTGGATACGTACGTCATTCAATCGAAACATAAAATACCCTACCTAACTCGCAAAATTCGTGCCCTGGCACCGAGATGCTTCATTATAAAATAGTAAATAATGCCGAAAGTCAACATTTCTCTAAGAAAATAATTACTCTGTAATATCTGTCTAATTTGAAATCCTACTCTACTGAAAAAAAAGCGTGCAAAATTAATGTAAATTTTTTTAAATAAAAAGGGGAGGCACATTGATAATTACTCGTGATCAGTGATAGTTTATCATAATGTGAACATGTCGTTTGCGCTCTCTTCCAGACGTCTAATTGATGGAATTGAAATTCATTTTCCATTAAAACCATTAAGAAACTCGGTAGAGTGTAGAAAAATTACAAATAAATTGTTCAGCGAGAAACATGTTCAATTGCAGAGAAACTAGGTACGTTTTAAAGAGTCAAATCTTTGCAAAAGATGAACTATACGCTCAAATTGTGAAACGCTCGATACGTCGCTGCAGCAAAGGAGTATCTAGATAAACGATTAGGCTATATCTAGATATTTCAAATATCATCTCGCCTGACAGAGCCAGATGTATTTTAAATATTTGAAAAGAAGTACGGCCTATGCACGTCCATGGTATACTCCAATCGAGTTGGTAGCCAGCAGTCCTTCCGTCACCGTATTTTCTCTCTCCCTCTCCCTCTTACCCACCCGCGAGCGTTCATTCCCTCCCTCTCACCGTCGCTCTACAGTTCGGCAGCTTTCCCTCCTTCTCCTTCGCTGACAGATAAATTCGTTCCTTCTCCCTCTGCCTTGCACGACCGATTCGTCCCATCTCTCTCTACCCTAAAGCGGCCTACTAATCCTTTCTCTTTCTCCACCTCTATACAAGCATATTCATTCCTCCCGGTCTTTCATCTTACGAACAATTCGCTCTCTTTCTTCCTCGTAGTAGCCACCCTCCCCGCTTCTCTCTCTCCCCCTCCCGACTAATCCACTCGCCGCCTTGCGATCTACCTGGACTCGCGGTTCAACCTACTCCTCTCCCTTTCTCACTCTCTCTCTCTCTCTTCCTGTGCAGTCGGATCGGTCCGCCTCTCTCGCTCCCGCGGCATCGGTCGAGCGTTGCCGGTTCCGTTCGGATCGGTTCGGCTCCGTTCGACTTTCTTCGCCGACCGGCGGCCGCTGCGGGGCGCGGGTGGCGGAGGTGGGGGGGCGTCGCGTCGCGGTAACGCGGAGGTGTTCCCCGTTCTCCAGTCGGAAGAGAGCGGCCGGTTGGAGGAGATCGGTGTGTCCCGTGCGGTCTACCGTGGAATCGAGTGCACGCCGCGGCGACTTGTGGCTCCCGAGTTCCGGTGCGTTCCCTGGCGTCCCAGAGTGCGCGTCACGACACGGCAGGCGAGGACATCGTCCCGGCCGATCCTGGCGAACCGGTTAGTCCGCGCGAGGCGATGCGTCGCCGTTGAGCTGCCGCGAGCGGATCGAGGTACGAGGAACGAAGATTTCGTCGCCGGGCCCGGCGCATCGCCCGCGAAATGCGCCCTCTCTCGGTCGTCGCAGGTGAGTCTCTCGGAACGCACCGACCGTCCCACCTGACTCGGTTGCACTTTGTTTGGATTTCCACCACACCCGCGCGAACGCTACACGCGGGAGACTTCCTTTTCTCCGGGTGAAACAAGCGGAAAGATTAAGCCATGTTATAAAAAAGAAGAAATCCAAACAAGTGTAAATAATGATACCGAAAAAAAAAAACTTAAAGCGTATCTTTAGCCACACTATAAAATATCTCTTAAATAATTAAATAACAAATCAATTCAATAATCATAACTCAAAGAAAAATAGTCTCGTAAAGAATTACCGCAGTTAGATATTCGATTTCTGCGGTATTCTCAGCAGGTAGAATGATTTCCTTCTTGATGCATTGGATATCCGGATGTAACGTTGACGGAAGTAGTACTAGGTAGCGTTTGGCTCTCTTAAAATGCATGCTACCGTTTCTTAATCCTCGAAGACCGAACTCCCCGAGGCGAGGTAGAAATGAAGAAAAAATAATTGAAATTCGATCGGAAGAAAAGTTTTCAACGTCGCATCTCCATTTCACGCTCCCCGCAGACGAGCTCGCGGAAACGGAGCGTTTCACCCAACTCGAGAAATCTACGCGGTTAACCGATTTCGAATTTATTCTACTAGTTTAATATCCGGTCCGATTAAGCACGTGGAAAATCACCTTTGATAGTCGAGGGAAATTTATGTTCTTTAATCAAGCCTCGTGGGACGAGGGGGACCGGGGCATAAAAGCGAATATGAATTGGGGAGAATTAATGTTTTCTCGGATTTTTTCTTTTTTTTTTTTCACTCACGTGAAATCTCGATCGCAGGTGGGGTCCTGGGACATGGCTGTTCCACCTGACTCGTCTTCTCGCTACTTCTTTTGCGTTCGTTTGCCCCTTATCTCCCTCTTTGCTCTTCCTCGAGTAGACCGGACTCGAATTTACGCGGAACTTCGTCAGCTTCCCACCTGCGGAACGTAACCTATTCTTCCGCGAGCGCTCTGGTGCTTTACCCAAGAAGATGGACTTTCCGCTCTAGAGGTGCATCCTGGAGGAATCCGCTTTCGTACAAAGTTGGTCCTTACGCGATTTGGACCGACTTTCGTACGTGGCTGTTTCTCGCCAAGTGGATCGTTAAAGCGGAAAATTGTATTCATAGAGATACGCAAGAAGTGCACTCGCCGCAGGCTCCGGTTCAGAAGCAGTTGACTTTCTATGATATTCGTACATAAATTTGCACGAGATGCTGCGTCTTCTTGATAAGAAGCCTGGGTATTTCGAAGGGAATACTCATTTGCTACTCGAGGTGGTAATCATTCTCAGCTGGAACAGTGCATATCGGAGTGGAATCGTTTTATGATATTAGGAGAAATTTTTTTTATTTGCGGTACTTTTTTTGTGTTAATGGGATATTTAACGCAGATCTTGAGTGAAAGGGTAGAACGTTTAAATTCTAGGTGCATCTGGGATTGAGGTTTTTTCTTTTTTTTTTTTTTAATGTATGGGGAGGACATCCCAGAGATGTAAAGGAAATGGGCCCATTGTTGGGCGGAAGTAGAAGTGCTGGAGGTTGGAAAAGTTCGCGGAACAGGTGACGAATGGAAGGTCTTCTCGCCTCGGGCAAGGTGAAGTTCTCCGAAACTTAACCGTACTCCTCCGCCTTCACGAAATACCTATTCGAGTATTCACGTGGATTTAAAGTACAAGAACCTTGATACTAGCGGGCCGTATTTGCTCATTTGCGCAATAAAGCGGATTTTCTATTTAAAAAACAAAGTTCTATTAAACTATTACCCCTTACCATTACTACAGAGCTACTCAAAACTACTTTCATGAATAAATCGCGATGGCAGAGGAAGTTAAAATTTGTTTTTTTCTTTTATTTTTTCTTCTTGAAGATGAGAAATCAAACATTCAGAGTGGTTCAGGTATTCTGTTAGCGATGGAATATTGCGTGCAATACCGATCGAAACTGAAGTTAAATCTTTCTCTGGCGAATATTCCGAGATCTTGCTTCAGGGTAGAAAGTTCACGCAACAGGTGCAGAGGGGAATAAATTTTTTACTGCTTTGAAAAATGTTCGTAATGGCAGGCCGGTGAATGAGTTGTAAACCGATGGTTGGAGGATTTTCCAGGAAGAAAAATTTGACGTGCAGGTTAGGAACGGAATAGGGGAGTCCGGTTGCCCTGGCGACAGGTGAGGATACCTTAACGTGGCATCGACTGACTCACGCCGATCTACCTGCAGGGTACTGTTATTCATTTTACAAATGAACCCCTGGATGGACTGGTACGTTCTACAAAATTTACCGCCAAGGTTTTCCCTTTAACACTCGATCTACCGGAGGATTTTTTTTTGCTCTGGTGGGTCATTTAAAACCAGTCATTTTTACTAGGCTTGGTAGATCCACTGTTAAGAAGGATGATGGATTACGTGGAAATCTCAAGAAATACAAATTTTTACGTGTAAACGATTCACAGACAGAGAAGTAAAGAATTCACTTTTATGTCGTGTAATGTTAAATATTTTATCGAATTAAAGGAAATATGCAACTCCTTGGGGTAATCTGAATTACACCAAGGGAAATAAGAATTAATTCATACGATGTTACGGTGTTAAGTTTCAATGGATTTTTAGTGGCCTATTGTTAGACGCAATTTTCATCGTGCACTTTTATATCTAGCAGCTATTTTTACTCGGTGTCCATTTCGTTGGAAAACGTTTTAAGCTGGGTCGATCCGTCCTCTTTTCATTATGGGATTGGAAATACGAAGACCAGTCCATCCACTTTGCGATGCATCTTCCATTTGGACGAAATCCTCGGAGACTGCTTCGGAGTAAACTTATCCATTCAACAGCTTTTCCCTAAATGCGAATAAATTCGGTGAGAGATGAAGATTTGCGGGAATAAGACAGGCGAACGATCGTTTTTCCCTCGTATTCGTGCGGCATTGCACGTCCCCACTGATTATTAAAAATATCCCCCGTACTTATATTACGTGAAAACAAAACGCACTCCATTCCACTTACCGGAAAATCGTGCCCGTTCATCACATAAAGTTTTTCTAATTTCAATAAAGACAACCCTCGATCGAAGAAATTATTTCTCATTCTAGCTGAAAAACATGTCCTATTCTAATTTATATTTTCTTCCTTATTTAATGACGATTTTTAAACTGACTCTTGAGAATTCAATAAAAAAGAAAACATGAATTGATAAATTTCTCTTTCAAATTTCTAACATTCCGAATTTTTCCTTCCGGCTACTAATCGATCTCCTCGACTGGCCACAATCGTCGACCCTTCTGACGCAGTCCTTACGTTAGCATAAATAAAAAATGTTCATTATTCCCGTCGCAACGAGGTCGACGCGTCCACCCTCGAGTAAGTCACGCGATGTCCGGAAGCAACCCCTTCGCTTTCCTTTCGCCCCACCCCTGGAGAATCGATTTACGATTAATTAATTCCCTTTCCGAGGTCCCTTGGTCGTTTCCTGTTGTACCTGCACTCTCTTTAACGGTTCCTCATGGTTCGATGGCTCGATTATTGCACCAATCTGCGCGAAAGAACGGGCGAATTCTTCCCCCTGGCTTTCTTCCTTTCCTTTTCGCGAGTCCTCTCCACTCGCTCGCGCGAGGAATGGCGGCCTAATATCGATCGTCTTAAATCTCCCTGTAATATCGCGTTTCACGAAACCGTTGTTCCACCTCGCGCCTGAAACGTTGATACCACCAGCTCGACATTGTTAACCCTTTTAACGATACGCAATCGTTGACCTCAGAGGCGAATGATTCATGACGCCCGATGATGTGCGTTCCCGAAAATGTGAAACACCTTTATAATTCATTTTTAATGGCCAGGCTTATTAATTTACCAAAACCCATCGGATTGCCCGTCGTGACTCGGTTAGCTTAAGCGTCCCTCATGAAGGAATTATTATTTTTTTTCTTTAATTAAATATAATATTCTTTAACGGTTCAAGCTGCATAATTCTTTCGGAGTATTTTTATTCGTTTGCGGTATGGCTGAAGATGGGCACAAGTTGATCACCAGGAAGTCCCATATCGAGTCTCATAAGTGTTATATGTGCACGCCATGTGTACTTGTAGGGAACTCGGCAAGACGTTTCGGGGATGATTGCCTTAATAAAGTGAAATAATTGAATGCAATTAGGAAGTCATACAGAGCGGATGGGAAATGATTCGGCCATTCGCGGCGAGCGTTTAATGGGGCCTCTTGAGGGGGGCACTTTCTTTCGGAATGCAAGCAGACGAAGTGCAAATCGCTCACCATGAAATTTCTATCCGTGGGTACATGAATTTTCTAAGACCGGCAAATTTGTCGACTCGTAACAGGTGGAAGCCCACCGACGGTGCATTAATGAGTCTTTCTTCACGCTCAGGTGCTTAACATAAGCGCTACCAGGTACGTGCGTGTACCTTGGCAACCGCGTAAGACGCAACCGTGTTCCCTGATGCGAACGGAACAGCCGCTCTTTCGCCGAGTCGGCAACGGGAAGCGAATCGCAGAACCTCGTGTGAGAAGTTACAACGGGGGTACCGTTCGTCGAATCGAGCCTTTAGACCGCCGAACATGAAAAAGCACCGTTCCGTGGCAATTTTCATTTTTACTCTATGAAGCAAGCCCCATTCACCCGCACAAAAAAAATTTGATACGGCTGCTTTATGAGAAATTTGCACATGGATTGAATTTTTTTACTCGTTTTTTTTTTCGTTACATGGAGAGTATAGTACTTATGGGAAATAGTATTTTAACGAATGTTTACTTATGTAAAAAGGAAAATGTTGAGCTTTGTTACGATGGGTGTGGATTGTATGAACCCGGTTTCGTGTCGTTTTGAGGTTTCATTTCCAGTCACTGTTTATGCTCTATAATGTGTACACGAAACAGAATTGACTTTTCAAGACAACACCGGGAAAGGATACGCTGAATTTTGTACGAGAAGTCGCCAGAACGTAGTTCCGCTCTCCGGATCGAGTTTATATTTC